AAGGAGGAAATTCAGGCTGCTCTGAAGGACCTGGCAAACAATAAGGCCCCAGGAATTGATGGGATACCAACTGACATATTTCAACAAACAGAAGCTGCCCTGGATGTGCTTATCAAGTTGTGCCAAGAAATCTGGAGGACAACTGCCTGGAAGAAATCCTTATTTATTCCCATTCCAAAAAAAAGGTGACCCGACAGAGTGTGGAAATTATCAAAATATTACTAATATCACACGCAAGCAAAGTCCTCCTGAAGATTATCCAAAAATACATCGAACAGTACATCGACAGAGAACTACCAGAAATACAGCTGGGTTTAGAAGAGACGGAGGCACTAAAGACATTATCACCAATGTTAGACAAATCTTGGCAGAATGCAAAGAGTACCAGAGAAATGTCTATCTGTGTTTCATTAACTCTACAAAGGCATTTAACTGTGTGGATCACAACAAACTGTGTCTAACCTTGAGGAAAACAGGAATCCTAGAACACTTAATTGTACTCATGTGAAACTATACTCAGACCAGGAAGCAGTCCTCAGAACAGAACAGGGAAACAATACATGGTTCAAAATCAGGAAAAGAGTGTCAGGGATGCACCCTGTCTCCATACCTTCTCGATCTGCATGCAGAACATAATAAAGAGGAATGTGGCATCAGGACTGGAGGAGGACTCATCAACAACCTTCATAATACAGATGATAATAATCTTGCTTGCTGAAACTGAGGAGGACCTAATGCAGTTGCTGCAGAAGATCAAGGACTGTAATCTATATGCATTGAAGCTTAACATCAAGAAAACAAATATTCTCACCATTGGGCCAACTGGCAGCACCATGATAGATGGAGAAGAGATTGAGATTGTTAACAATTACAGCTCAGCTCCACCAAAAAAAAAAAAAAACAACAAAAAAACCAAAAACAAACCTCTTAGCACCAGCTGTCAGGAATCAAAAGGTTAACTGTATGCTGTCAGGGACCTCTCCAGGATACTGAGAAGTAACGATGTCAGTCTAAAGACTAAGGTGAGCCTGAGCCAGGTCGTGGTCTTCACAATTTTTCGCTATGCATCAGAGAGCTGGATAATGATTAAGGATGACAGAAGAAGACTCAATGTCTTTGAGTTGTGGTGCTAGAAAAGAGTCTTAAACATACCATGGACCGCCAAGAAAACAAACAGGTCTGTCTTGGAAGGGTAAAACCAAGTTTCCCCTTGGAGGCTAGGATTTTGAAGCTCCATCTCACATACTTTGGGCATGTGGCCAGGAGTGACCAGTCCCTGGAGAAGGACATCATGCTTGGAAGGGTGGAGGGACAGCACAGGAGAGGAAGAGCCTAGATGAGATGGACTGATATTATAACTGGGGCAACAGGGACTGGTGTGTTGGAATCAGTAAGACTGGCTCAGAACACGACAGAGTTCAGAGCTGCTATACATAGGGTTGCTATGAATGGCACTTAACAAGAACAACATAAATAATAAATTATCTATTTTATTTATATATTAGTGTATATATGTATATAAAAGTATCTTCTGCCATGTCTATATATATCCACAGATGTGCTCTCATTTGCCATCCCACATCAGTTGAGCTTGCACGTCTATTAAAAACTCACTGATGACAGCTAAGGCTGTGCTTGCAATAGTATTTACCACTTTTCTTTTACTCTTGGGCACCTTCTAGTCTCTTCCTCTATCCTGTTTAGGTTGTGTTTACCTCAACTTGTTGAGTATTATCTTTCTATCACATAAATTATTCACATCTTTTCTCTGTCAAACTATCTACAACACTGACTCACAGCAATGCTGCAGGATAGAGCAGAACTTCAGTATCCAGTTTGGAAGGCTGCATCTTAACAGGAACAAGCTGTTCAGCTATAAGGCTGGTGGGTTCATACCTCCAACATTTCTGCTGGTAGCCCAGCTCTGTGCCACCAGTGCTCCATACTCGAGATGTGTTGACTTGTCATTCACTCAACAAATATATAGTTTATATTCTCATTGCAAGAGACAAATAATAAAATATTAGAAGTTGGTGACATTAAAAAAGAGAAAATGGAATAAAAGATAAAATGACAGACATCAAGATTCCAATTTAGATGCATTGATGTCTACTAGATTTCCATGTAATTAATAAGATGTTAAGACAAAAAAAATCAGAAAAATGTAAATAGTTCAACATGATTTAGGGCAAAAATAGGTATGAAAGAAAATTAGATAAATAGGTGAACAGGTAGACAGTGTCCATACCATTTTCTCTGCTAATGTAGAAACAATAATGCCAATAATGCATGGATATGCCATGCTAGGACACAGTGGAGGGCTCTGAGCTAGAGATGTACATTTAAGAGTGTGAGCATGTAAATTATGCTATTTAAAGCTAACATGAGATCAGCAAGGAACAACATGAGATCACCAAGGAAATAAGTGAGTCAGGAAAAGCAGTCAAAGGTTTGAATGTTGGGTCGCTCCAACATTAAACCATCTTGATAGGAGAAAACCCATCAAAGGATACTTTAAAATTGTAGTCAGTGAGATAATTGAAAAACCAGAGAATACAGAGTCTTGGAAGCTAAAAGAAGAAATATTTCAGCAAGCACATCAATGAAATATATCACAAGCAGCTGACAGTAATACAATGACCAACAATTGACTGTTGTATTTAATAATAATGGTGACCTTCATTAGATAGGTTCTAAAGGAACTTATCTACAGGTCTGAATGGGAGCAAAAGCCTGACTAGAGGGACCGTGCGATAAGAATTGGGAACAGTAATATAAACAATTCTTTTAAACTTTGTGGAGAAAGAGAAGAAACAAGGGTATAACTGAAATAAATTACTCTCTGGAAATTAGTAATTTCTTTTTCAAAATGGAAAATAACAGCATGCTTATATATTGATTAGAATGGTCCTTTAGGAGGGAAATTGACAATTTAGGGAAGAAATGAGGAGTAAGAGGAAGGAGGAAAGCGAAAAAGTGTGGTGGGAGGAGGGGAAGGAATGGGAAGAGCTTGGCAGAGCACAGCAGAGCAAGGCTAAAGGAACGTCCTTGAGCAGATGAAAGACTCCTGAACACCAAAGAATTGGCCTCTACAAGCAGTACATCCATAATTCAGAAGAGAAAGCAGAGTTCAGATTTGGGGTTAGATCTGTTATCAAGTACTGCTAGTCAAGAGAGGGCAAGGGAACTAAGGGAGGCACACATGACATGAGACATTAAAAGCTAGATAAGGAGCTGTGTGGGATCTGAGGAACATGCGAGATCTAATCCATTAATCCTAAATTCAAGTGGTACTGAAGGACTGTGGAAACCAAACTACTAGAGAGAATGAACCAGAAGGTTTGGAAGTGTGTGTATGAGAGAGGGAAGCTTGAATCTAAAATTTTGGTGGAGGACCCAAAAAAAGCAGATGAGCAGAACACACCCTAAAGAACTCAGTCTAGCCCAAGAACAACCACTAACATGTGTCATTGTTCCACAACTTGGTGAACAAAGGCAGCCTTGCTAGAATTCCACTGGGGGGATCAGAAGTTTCATGGAGCTCTGGGAAAGGCGAAATATAAAATGAGTATTAAATGTGAATAAAAACAAAAAGGCTTTTAATGCATAGAGAACACTGCCACACAGACAAAAACATAGAGATATGAAAAAAGAATAAAATTCAGAAAAAAAACCAGTTCAAAATGATTAAAGGTGAGAGTTGATATGAAAGGGTCAGAAGGTTAGAATAAACGAAAGGACCATTTTGTTAGAGAATGTTAGTAAAAGTGAAATTATCAACAAATCAAATTGCTGACCATAAATCCTTCATAAAAGGGTCTAATGATAAAAAAAAAGGTGATTCTTTTAGAATCCTCTTCTTTTCCTTGTTTTGAGTGAGATGTCAATAAACAATACTATAAACACAAAGCCAAGCACTTTATGAAGAAGGATTGTTGTTGTTGTTAAGTGCTGTCAAGTCGCAGGCAACTCATGGTGACCCTATGAAAGAGAGTCCTCGACGCTTGGTGACTCTCATCCTCTTTTCAGGTTCATAGGGTTTCCGGAGGCAAGCTATTACGGAAGTGGATGCCACTCCTCCTTCCCAGCTTGTTTTAATCGGGGAGCTCCACAGTGTTCAGCCTCACAGCAACCACAAGTGACCGCTGTGCATGAAGAAGGATTGGTCTGGATTAATCAATTCTTAGAGGCGCACACAGAGCAATGATTGTGAGAACAGTGCAAGACTAGGCAACATAATACATACTAAAGTCATGGTGAGTCAGGACCAACTCAACAACACCTAACAACAACAGAACCCACAGCTTCCACACATCTGACAATATGCAAAAACCTGTCATTACAACCACAACTTCCAAGATTAAGAACTTTGCAAGCAAAATTAAGCACAATTGAAATTTTCCAAGCAGATAACAGAACTATACAAAGTACTAGATACAGACATTCCTGTAACATGTATATATGTAACATATATGTATGGCTATCGATAAACAGTTTTTTTAATTTAAAAGAACAATTTATATTTGAGTATACAGATAATAGCAATAATGATATATTCAACTTTCATAAATAATCTATCTTGGAATCAAATATCACATTGAAAAAGAGTAGCTTGTTAGGGAAATAATTGTTATACCTACTATAACCTCACATTTATATTAGTAGCTATGGCACTGGACTTGTGAGGCAAAGAATACAGGTTCAAATGCTAGTAGCCAATAAGAACCATAGGTCAGTCAGCTGTCAGCATCAGAGTTTAATTTATAAAACGGAAATTTAAAAATCCCCAGAGCATAGTGTTAAGATTTTTATGAAGGTCAGCATCTGAAAAAGGTTTGTTAACCACAAAAAACTACGAATTTCAATTATTGCTACAGAAGTGAAACCTTCATACCAGACACTGCTTCTCCTCATTCTCAAGAACAAAGTACAATTAGAACTGAAAGTATAAAGGTGATAGTTTTTAAGTACATCTCACCACCTCTCTTCAAAAACCTTACCTTTGAATGGGCAGGCCCTCTTTCATTCAGAAGTTTATACTGAGGTTGGACTCTATTGAAACGGGCTAACTCATTTACCAGACACACTGGAGTTTTCTCTTTGGGGGTTGCCATTTTATCTTGGAGAAAAGCTGCAAATAAAAAGGCTGTAAAGTTTTTTTGTGAAGAATGACTTAACAAAATGGAGAAAAAGTAGTTTTTACTTTATTTTAGAGTGACGTTACACTGTACATTTGGAATATTTTCATGAACATTGTATAAAAAAATTAAATCATATAACATCTTCAATTATATGAGGCAGAAACACATATCATATATAAAGACTACATTACAGTACCTTTTTTCTAAGTACCCAGTACTGATATATATATATATATTTGTGTATACATATTTCATATATATAACAGCATGCTTAATGACTTTAAAATATTTCATTTATCCTAGAAAGTTTCCCGTTCAAAAATATTAGCACAGTAACGTGATAATCATAACTTTACTCATAAAATTAAAAAAATGCCATATACTTGCTATCTACCCAGAACTATTTCATATTTTCCATGACTGCTGGCTTATTTCTTTTAAAAATCTATTCCATTCCAGTTAAGTATCCTTTATCTTTTCTATAAACTACCACTGATTAATTTAGAAAGCATCTCTCTGATCTTTTTAAACATACTGAAATATATACTTATGACCATGAATACATAGTTTGATACACATGGTTTTGTATTCACATATAGGATTACAATGAACACAGGTATTCACAAATTTTTCATTCTTGTGTTTTTGAGATGTTAACTTATATAGGTGTTGTTCATGACTTCTGAGTAACCTCCATCACTGTATTATACCACAATTCATCTATTCCCTCAATGAAAGACATACAGATTGCCTGCAATTCTTCACCGTGACAAGTGAAAATCCTCTGCCAAACTGCTCTCAAAACAATGGTATCAAATTCCCTTCACCAGGCAGCATGGGTGGTCCCACTCCCCCTCATCTTTGAAAATATGCAGCAGTTTTCTTCATTTTTATTAGGTGATGACTGAAAAGTGGCATCCAGCTAATGTTTTAATTTGCTTTTTATTATTGATGGCTGGGACATGGTATCCCACCACTGTTTTAATTTGTATTCAACTTGGTGGTTACCTTTTGCTAAGTTATTTGTCTGCTTCTCCCCTCACCACCCTCTCCATTAATTCTGACACTGCTTCAGAAGTAACATAAATGCAAAAGAACACTTGTGACTGGAACTTTTTAAGTGCATACAGATTTTACTCTGGGAAAGTTTTGCAATTAAGTCTAAACCCTTAAAATTTAATAAATTAGAAGCTTTCTAGTTGGTGATAAACCTCAGTGAAATGCATGTGAGAGGATAGTCCTGACCCTTTCTAAGACATGGAAGCAACAAAGAGGGAGGGAGGGTAGTTTGCGGGACACTTGATGTAGGTCTTTACTATTACTGGAACAGTATTTGTTTGTAGTTTTTTCCACACACTTGTAACATCATAATTTGCTCCCAATGAAAAATCTCCCATGTGTGATATAAATTTGACATTTGTCATACTTATGTGAAATATTCTGCTTTTGTTGATAGAAAAATTGGTTTCTACTTAACTCTCTGTAACTCTGACAAGAAACATTGCTAAAAATAGATTAGCAATAGTATCCGCAAATACAACAAAATATAGATATATTCCCATCACCTTATTTTTATTTATCTAGAAAATGGCCTGGATTCTTTGGGACGTCAGTCCTCTAACTAAAATGCTCCATTTTCAGAGAAAAAAAGCCTTCTTCAAGAAGTTGGAATTTTAAAAACTAAAGACAGACACAAACTACAGTATGGTGTTACAAACAAGGCTGGTATTTTACTCTTTTAAGTACAGGGGCATAGGAAGGCAGGTTTTAAAAGATGATTGAATTAGTTAAGGAAAATAGAAATCTACCAAGCTAGCAAGAGGGGGAAAGGGAAAAAAGCTCAGATGCACGAGGAAGCACATACACAGAGGACATTCTGGAAAATGCAGGTAGAATACTACAAAACGTTTGAGAGGTAATACCAAGGGGGGAAAAAGCACTAAAACATGAAAAGACAAACTTTAAAAGTATCAACTTTTCAAAAATAATACCCAGCCAAAGATATTGCTAGGAAAGTCACCTTACAGTCTATCCCACCAGCTGTGGTGGTGAATTTCATATGTCAATTTAGCCTGACTACAGAGACAACAGTTTGGTCAAATACCATTCTAGAAGTTGCAATTAAAGTTTGTGGTGATGTGATTAAAATGTATCATTAGTTGATTCTCAGTGAAGGAAATGACATTCAGTAATGTGACTGTGTCTATCCAATTTCTTAAAGGTTCTAAAAACAAAAACTGAGGTTTCCTAGAAAAGAAAAATTTGTGCCTCATGAAATTCAGAGTTTCCAGCATGCCTGCCTGTTCAGTCTCCCCTATGAATTTCTAATTCAAGGCTGCAACATCAACTATCTCCTCAATTTCTAGCCCACCAGCCTATCCTACGGATTTCATATTTACTAGGCCCAATACTGTGTGAGTAAATCTCTTCAACTCCATCTCATCTATTTTATTCTCTTCTTGTATCTCTGTGTGTGCATGTGACAACAGATAGGTGAACTCTATGGATGGCACAGATGCTAACACATTCCTTTTTTAACCGGAGAGTTGGAAGATCATATTCATTTGGTGAAGCCACAGAAGAAAACGTCTGGCAACTTACAAAGACTCAGCCATTCCACAACAGTTTACTCCAACACATTAGGGATCAGCATGAATCACAGTCAACTTAATGGCAACTAGCTTGGTTTTTTTGGATTTAGTGTATGCATGTATACACATACACAAACGTATACCCAACAAACTGATCCAGGGAAGCCATCTTTCAATTTAAGCAGCCTCTTAACTTAATAGTACTCATGTATCTAAAGACATTCATTCACGTAAGAATGATTTTAGTATGTATAGCAAACTTCAAGGGCATTTAACAAAAAAACAAGGAAACCCAATGCCACTGAGTCAATTCCAACTCATACTGACCAGTGGCCAGAGCAGAACTGCCACACAGCGTTTCCAAGGTGGCAGGTCTTTGTGGAAGCTGACTTTCTTCCTTGGAACAGCTTGCTATTGTTAAGTGCCATCAAGTTGCATATGACTCACAGCAACCCTGTGAAAAACAGATCTTTATGCTGTCTTATTCTGTGTCATCCTCATCATCTCTGACACACTTGACTGCAATGCTGTAGCTACTCTATCTTGTTGAGGGTCTTCCACTTTTGCCAATCCTCCACCTTTCCAAGCATGTCCCTCTCCAAGGAATAGTCTCTCCTAGCAACATGTCCAAAGTATGTGAGACAATGCTTTGTCACCCTTGCCTTCAAGGAGCATTCTGGCTGTACCTTCTCCAAGATATATCTGTTAGTTTTTTTGGCAGTCTATCGGACAACTGAAAGGCATCAATTCTTCTGTCATCCTTATTTACCTTGTAGCTTTAAGATATACAGCAAGTGACTGAAAGGACAAGGCCTCAATCAGGCACACCTTAGTCTTCACACTGACATCATTGCTCTTAATTAATCTGGAGGGGTCCCTGACAGCATACTTGCCCAATGCAATATGTCTCCTGATCTCTTGAGTGTTGGTACCTAAGGTGGTGACTGTTGATCCAAGCAGGAAGAAATCAATGACAACCTCAATCTTTTCTCTACCATTATATCACGTATTGGCCCAGTGGTGTGGATCTTTGTTTTCTTAATGTTAGCTGTAATCCATATTGAAGGCTGTAGTCTGAAGGCTACAGTCTTTGACCTTCTACAGCAAGAGTTTCAAGTCCTTCTCACTTTCATCAAGCAAAATTGTGTTATGCACATAACATCATCAAGGTTGTTGATGAGTCTTTCTCCAATCCTGATCTCACATTCTTCTCAGACAGTCCAACTTCTCAAGTAATTTGCTTAGCTACAGAGTGAATAGATATGGAGCAAGGATACAACCCTGATGCACACCTTTCTTGATTTAAAACCACATAGTGTTCCCTTGTTCTTTCAGACAACAGCTTCCTGATCTATGTAGAGGTTTCATATGAGCACAATTAAGTGTTCTGGGATTCCCATTATAGCCATAATTTGTTATTATTTACACAAATACCCTTAAACAGTCAATAAATTTTTTTCTTAAAATAAAATAATGTCGTTTTTGGGGGTGGGGGGAGGAACCAACCACACCAGTACTCTCTGCTTTCAGCCAGGACCCATCTGACATCAGCAATGATATCCCTGTTGCCACAGGCTCTTCTAAACCCAGCTTCAACTTTAAGCAGTTCCCTGTCAATGTACTGTGTAGCTGGTTTGGAATGATCTTCAGCCAATATTTTGCTTGCACATGATATTAATGATATTATTCAGTAATTTCCACATTCTGTTGGATCACCAATCTTGGGAATGGGAACAATTATGGATCTCTTCCAGTCAGCCAGCCAATTAGCTGTCTCCCAAATTTCCCAGCACAGACTGATGAGCATGTCCAAGGATGTATCTTTAGCTGAAACTTAATAACTGATGCCACATCAATTCCTGGGGACTCCCCCCCCCAGTCTTTTCAGTTCATCTTGAACTTCTTCTTTGGTACCATCGGCTCTTGTTCATATGGTATTTTCTGAAATTTTCTGGTGTCAATTAATTCTTTTTGAGACAATCACTCTGTGTATTCCTATGTATCCCCCCACACCCCTACATCTTTGAGATTTCCAACAGGCCAGCAACAAAGGATAGAGGTGCTACTTCTATTGGAGAAGCTCACGGGTTAAAAACAATGACTTTTGGGGTAATGTTTATCCACCGTACCATCAGAGTTTCTGGGTATTTAACAACCATCTTAAATTGTTATATACCTTTCTAAACACTGCCAATGAGATTTAACTGAAAAGTGCTGTCCTATATTTATACTGTTGTTGTTTTGTACTATCATGTTGGAAAAAACCCACAGCTAATTCTTCACAGGATTTTGAGAAGTAGTTAATCAATCATGCAGGAGGATACTGCCCATCTTTCTTCTGCAGAGCAGTTGGTGAACCCGAACCATGTGCCTTGGGGATTTCAGCACAGCTTCTTACC